TGGATCTCTATATAGCTATCTAACACCAGGTGTAATGGAATGATGTGGTAGGTAACTATTAATTTCTGCTTAGGACTTGTGAAGTCTTAGCCTGAGAACTCTGCCCAGTTCTTGGCAATGCAATATGGTAAGGTTGGAGAGAGGCCACAAGAGGAATAAAAGGTTTAGACATCAGGGGCTGTGAGGAAAGATTAGAGTAACTTGGTTTTTTTCAGACTGTGGGAAAAAGATGAAGGGCACACACTTTCTGGTGTGAACATGTGTTTTATACTGAGCACAGTTGCTACCTGTTTTCCATGTCTATTGAACACATAAGAAATAGTGAACTTTTTTTTAATGTGTTGTGTCGTTTCCTTTTAGCATTACTATGCAGGCTTTATTTGTGTGACAGTAATTTTGCATACCACCCTCCTACCATCATATTGACTGGTTGCTGTGCTACCAGATTGTCTATACCTCTTTTTCTTAGTACCAAAGAAGAAGTCTGAATATATGAGTGACATTTGTCAGGCATCTTATTGTGATATACATCTTAGAAAAAGTGTGTGGATGCAAGGATTTATCTTTTCTTATAACTTCTTTAAATGCAAAACAAAGTAGATTTATCCATCTTATTTGAAAACAAAAGGATACAAAGACTTAAAATACTAATATATTGCATAATTATTTTAAAGGAGCAGCTGCTCTCATTATACTTCTAGGTTGGCTTTGGCAGTGTTCCCAGTTGATGTTTTCTACCGAAAGGTTACTCTGATCAGGCTGATTCAGTCTTTTGTGTTGTTGCAGGTTTTATTTGTGCTTACTTCTTGCTACAACTCTTTAATATTGGCAGAAATAATCATCCATTCTTCTGTGCAAGTCTAATACTGCTTTAACATGTTTTCTTCATGTGCAATTCTGTGGCACACTGCACTGTGTTGTCTGGAAGCTCTTAGCTCTTCTTTTTTTTTCACCACAAACTAGATATTCCAGAATAAGTGCCAGTATGATTTTGCAAAAATTTATAGGTCCAGTTTGTTATTTGGATGCTTTATGTTTGCTCCACTATGCACTGAACAGGAAGTTAAGCGACCTGATGTTTGCAAAGCATGGCAAACACAGTAAGGTATCACTAACAGGTTGAAACTGGTACGGATAGAGTGAGTGGCCACCCATTGACCTGTCCATGTGGATAGTTTCCAAGCCTGCCAGAGAATAGGTTTGGTAGATGAATGTGAGAGAAAATGGGATTTCTGGGCTAACTAGAGGTTCGCTTGCAAAAGATGGTGATGTTATCAAGAAAGTGATGCATTCAAGAGAGAATGAGAGACAGAATTCACCTCTGATATAAGTCCTGATACTTAGGCAGGTTTAATTATTTCAAACTTTCTGTTCCACCTTGGGATTTTCTAGTAACTGTACTGCAGCTTTCTGTTCTGTCTCCGTTTCTTGTAACTGTACTTTTTTCCAGGATTTTGGTTTTGTTTTAAGTAATGTGTTACTTTCAATATTGTAGTCAGGGTTGTGAAACAAGATGCTGGGAGCCTGTAAGAATTTGGTTCCCTGTCTGTTGAGGATGCAGTTGGAAAAGTCAGCTAGAAGTGTGTATTTGCTCAGTTTTGGTGCTCAGTTCTTTCTGCTGTACTTCTGTATGTAGTGAATGGGGTGAGAGGCATTTCTTCAACTGACTTAGGTTGTATCACTGGCAATGTGTTCTCTACTATGGTAGAAGGAAGGACAGCTTTGCAGTGATATGCTGACAGTGACAACACTAATACAAAGGTGACAGTTTGTCATCTTGGGTTTCATAAGGAATGCTGTGAAACCAACACCTTCATAAGAGATGGATATTTACCTAGAACTGTGTGTTATCTCTTGTGCTCTCCTCGTAAATAGGGTGAGCAAGTAGTTAAGTGTCACATTTTTTAGAAGACACTTCACGTGATAGTACCTCATCTGATAACTACTTCCTCTTTGTTTTCCAAATGTCTGTGCATGCATTGTTTATCTACAAAACTAGTAAAACAAGTCATGTAGAGTGCAAGTTATTTCTGACCTGCTGTTGATTGTTAAAGTCATGTGAAACTTTCTTTAAGTTATTGGAATTGTTCCGTGAGACTGATGGTAACAAACATAGGCTATAAATGTTGTTAGCCTGCTGGGCAGGATACAATAGAATCTTTGTTCTTACAAAGTACTTAATTGTAAACTGGGTCATGAAACTATTGCCTTCTGATTTGAGAAAAGGTGGGAAAATACCAGCTTTTTTTTTTAAGGACCTTTAACTGGCTTGTGAACAGTGTTGATTTTTCACTTATTTATATTTTTCAAATACAGTTTAAAGTAAATATTGTCTCTGCAGTCAAAATAATCTGTTCTTTGGGGTTACTAAGCGAGTTGGAAATATTTATTTCCTTCACACAAAACATACACTATACATCTTTTAGGAAAGATGGCTAAATCCAGGAGCTGGTTATTGCAGTAGAACATTGTGAAAGAATGAGAAATCGGATTTCACTTGTATTTGAAAAATGTTTCAGCAAGTGTTGTGACCCCAAGGCTTTTTTTCTGCTATTATGCTAGTTTTTACCATGCAGCTGATTCTGGACACTGGAAAAACATGTTTTCCACAAGTATACCTTTACCCCTGTCAGCTAAGTTGCTCCTTAAGGCTTAGTTAAGTATGATGTCCTCTACTCTTTGGGTTCTGCAGTTCCACATGCTGAGTAGAGGTACAGCAGTCAGGTATCCCAGACTTGCTGTGTCAGGAGGATATTTGTAGTTGTTTAACCATTACCTTCAGATTCCCCTTGACACAGGACAAGCCACAAGATAATGTATTGATAAAATATTTACTATATTGATAGAATGCAGGATGTATGTTCTTTATTAATAACACTGTTAACTTTGACAGTGGTTCTAAGGACCTGTTGGTGGTTGTTGTTGCCCCCTGTCACTCCCAATTACGTGTGTTAATGACCCTGGGAATAAACTAGAAGAGTTCTCTCCAGAAAGCAGAGGGAACCTGTTAATGACTGTCTCCATGCCTAACTAGCCATGAACATAAATGTTAACTTGCTCTTAATGCAAATACTCCCTTCTGTCACAGCAGGATTCTGTCTGCAGCATAGAAGGAAGTTACCAGCTTTTTCGCATCAAACTATGTTGTCAATTATAAATGAGAATAATGCATGGGACTTAGGTCTAGTCAAAGCCTGGTAATCAGCTGCATTAGGCTGATAAAGATGGAGAGAAAATTTACCCGTGGTCACTTTTTGAGGAAACTTATAAAAAAACAGTAATGGGAGGTTTGGGTGTTCAGAGGACTGGGATACTAATTTAGATTTTAGTCATGTTGAGATGCATCCTCAGGGAAGGAGGCTACACAGTAGCTGAAATGTCACAGATAAAGCTTTCTACAAGTAAATTAATCCTTTCAAATTTTTTGTTTGTTTTTTTTTTTTCCCAAAAGATGTGTTTGGCTGTTGTATGCTTACTAACCTGGTTGTAACTATTGTTTGTAAAGATGTGGGTTGGGGAGGAGGATTAAAAATATGGAGAGAAGAGCAGTATTTAAACTGAAGTGTAAGATTGACACAAAGAAGAAATAGATATGAATGGCTTATGACTAAAATGGGAGGAATCAGAACTGTACTTTACCTCAGGAAGTGGCTTCCAGTACATGTTCAGCTGCTGCCCTGATTTCCTTATGGTTATGACCAGCTGTCCTCTTTGACTTGCTTCTAAAGAAATAAATCATTGTCTTAATAAAGGAAGTGCAGTACTTCTATCAAGTGCTAATGCTTCAGATTAGTTGCTGCATAATAATTAACAGTAAAGATGAAAATTCTCAGGCATCAGTAACTTGAAAGTGCAGCATCAAGTTTCTTGTCATCCTTGACTGACCCGGTTCACTGTGGACTCCCAAGGTTAAAAGTACAGAAGTAAGGGGCAACAAACTAAAACATGTGGGAGCAGGCTCAGACGGGCACATTGCTGGAAGGAGCAGTGGCCTTTTATACAGGCTTGCATTGTTACTTTTCAACAGCGTGAGAGAAAAAGTAGTGCTTGTGCACTGAGTGTGGACATAGATTAGATATTTTTGCCAAATGTTGTCCTATTGAACAACCTACCTGTAAGTATGCTTCTTGACAACTGTTGTGGATCAAGACCCCTGTTGGTGGCTTTTTGTCTCTCACTTATGTGCTAATTATTCAGCAGATCAAAATCAATCAGGCTTTTCTCAGACTTTTCTGTGGACTGTAAATCTTGTCCAGCTGATCTTGTCCTTTAACTGGAAGACTGCTGTCTTTGGCAATGACATAAATTTAGGTATTAAGCACTTTTGTCATAGACTATTATGCAGTTGCATCACAATCCAGATTGTCTTGGTTATTCTTTACCCCATGTTGCCTGAGGCTGTGACCTCAAAAGCTCAACAAGTCATGCTTGGCTAGGATGAGAGAGTCAAACAAAGTCAGTGCTACAGGAAATATTAGTGATTCAGTAAGTGAGGCAACACCCCTGAGTTAATGTTTTTCCAGTGCCCCAACCTGGTAAAAGATGCTGCTGCTTGTATGATGAGATGTAAAACTGAGATCCTTGGTTAAAGTTTCAGTGCAATTCCTGGTAAAAACAGACATATTAATTCAGAGGTCTTGCCCAAGTTCGGATTTTCATGGCTGTGTCCTCTACAGATTTCTAATGTCTGTTTTACTAGTCATATTATCCTCTTGCTCCTATCCTAAATTGTTCTTAGGGTTGTTGGGAAAGTTTGCATTCCAGAGGTGCTGACATGTTTGCAATTGGCAACAGAAAATTTCCAGAAAAAATGGTCTATTTTGAGATCTTTTGAAATCAAGGGAATTATATTCCTGTAAGAAATATCAGGTCAAAACTGAAAAGCTTCCAGGATTTTTTTTTCTTTCTTTTAATGTGTGCAGAATAACTTTTTGGCTTGAATACATGTATTTGCTACATGGTTGAGTGTACTCACACTTATATATTTTTATTTTCCATAGGATTCAAGTGCCCTGTATGTTCAAAATTTGTATCTTCTGACGAAATGGATTTACATCTTGTGATGTGTTTGACAAAACCAAGGATAACCTACAATGGTAAGAAAGAAGTAAGCTGATAATTATTTATTCATTTTAAACATTACTGTGATAATAATTCTTTGCATAATAAGATACTCTGGTAACTAGTTAGTGAACTCAGAAATTAGGTATGTTTTTTTGCTTGTAGTTTTTTCAAATTAATTCTTAAGAACTCGGTCTTTTTATGCTGCGTACCAATATAATTTGCACTGTGTTCTGAAAATATAAAATTATTCTCATTTGATTGTATGCATTCCATTTTTTGACCATTGGTCAGTGTGCATTTAGTGTCCACTTGAGATATGTGTAGCTTACATGTCCTCTCATGTGATTACCTCAAGTAGTGAGGTGGGTCAGTCAAGTCTTCTGGGGACTTTATTAAGGACTGTTACTTGACACACTGTGATTTTGCACATTATTCAAGAAAATGACCCTTTCTTGAAGGAAATAAAGAATTTCCTCCTTCTTCAGCTGATTGCATATGTGATACTTCATAAGGACTGGTAGATATATGTGTTTTTGTTATTTTGATCAAACTGACCAATATCAAATGAACCACCTGTAGTAGCCGTTTTTCCTCTACTACTAAGCTCTCCTTCTAGGCAACTTTTGATGCAAGGCAAACAGGACTTTTGCCACTGAGATCAAACCTTTCTATCTCTGGAGCTTAGGCTGACACTCAGTTCTATGGTGAGCACACAAAAAGGCTTCAGGAAACTAGGACTTCAAAATTTTACTGAAATCCTAGCGCCTGCTTTGGAAGAGCTACCATACTACCAGAAAATCTTACAGTGTCTCTTCGATGAGACTATTGCTCACCAGTCATCAGATGTGAGAACAGAATGCAATTAGAAAGGAATTGTAGAAGAGAGGGAGCTGGAGGGTTTTTTGGAGATGCTGATGCTCTCAAGTTATATCAGGGAAAAATCCCATTCAATGTAAAATAGAGACGTCACATAATGAGGGTGGTCAAACATAGTAGCAGACGCTCGAAGAGGCTGTGCAACCTCCATCCTTGGAGATGATCAGAAATTGACTGAGCAAGGCCCTAAGCAACTTAGTCTAACTTGGTTGTGCTTTGAGTGAGGGGCTGGACCAGAAGACCTCCAGAGGTCACTTCCAACAGAAGTTATTTATTGCATAAATAACCTGCAGTATTATGGCTCTTTGACCCTCCAGGCACCTTGCTGTTATGGTACTCTATACTGGACTTCTTTATTGGAACAAGTCTTGAAGAATGGTTGGGCCCACCTTATTCTTTATCCAGACAGCAATAATTGCAAAAATAATTTGAAATCATATGCTTAGAGTTGTGAAATCCATTTCACAGCACAGCACTTGAGAAAAGTAAATATTTCTTTTTTCCTCCTGTTGTTACCACATGTGTATTTGAGAAGGTTGACTTCATCTAACAGCGAGGGCTTTTTTTTCTCTTTGTTTTTCCTTTTTAAATTTCGGATGTGTACTGGGGGATGTTGGACGTTGGAGAGAAGAGAAGCAGGTTAGTCACCCCAGTCAAGGTGGGATAATGCTCTTGGAATCAGTTAGGGTGGAGTAGGAGGAGGCAGACTGGCAGAGAACAAGCACTGGCAGTAATCCAGCTGATGGGATGTGCACAAATTATGAGTTGACTGACTGAAATCCTTTACCCCTGCTGCTTTCTACATGTACATATGAGTGCACTCAACTGACTAACTTTTGTTGAAAGATAGAGCAATTACGTAAGGTACTCTTTCAGTATCATTTATGGTGTGTGTTTGTATCACAGCAGTGCCCTGTGTTCAGACTCTTTTTTTTGTTCCTGCACTGTTTCTCTCAACTGGCACACTACTGGTTGGAGCTCCTTTGGGCCATCTTGTTAACTTTGTGCAGTTATTACCAGCAACATGTCATTTCTCAATTTAGGAGTGTGTCTGCTGTACAGTGAGCCTCAGAAACTCATTCTAGGAAATGGTTATATAAACTTGGAAGAAGAAAACTGCTAAATTAGGTAGAAAGGTTTGAGAGAGACACTTACTTAGAAGTATGGTCTCATTCTCATAAACACTTCATAGAAGTGTGCATTGATCCTTGTGACTCCAGCTAGTTAGCTCCTGGACTCATGGACTAAATCTTAAATTATAGCCTATAGCTGGCTATTCAGATTACTGCAACACAAAGAAAACAAGAGTATGGCTTCAGAGTTGTGCAGTGCTCAGTTGTTACTTTGTGGTATGGTTGTAGTCCCTTTAATCAGGATAGTAAAAACAAATTAACTAGAAGATTGGTAACGTAATGCTGCTGTGATTTCAGGACCAGAACTGCATACATGCTTTTTCTGCTTGTCTATTTTGCTGTTTGCCATGGTGACATTAGTGATGAATCTGCCTTTTTGTCATAGGCCATAAGGAGGGCATCTCAAGTTCTGTTTGAGAGAAGAAAAGATGCTGCTCAACTTTTGATACCCTCTTCCAAAATGGAAGACATTTCTTTATACTTTACTTTCTCATTGTTTTCTTGGCCTTGTGCCATACATACTCAACTAGAGCCAACTAGGCACCATTTGACTGTGTTGGTCACTGATCATTCCCAGTCCTATTACCACTAGCAGGAAAAATATCTTTTTTTTTCCTTTCCTTTTTTCCAGCTCACCTTCTTTTGTCTCTGAGTTTTGTGTTGCACATTGAAGGGAGCCTTAGACTCTGCAGATGTTGAGATATTTAGAAACTGAGCAGTTGGATCGAACTGTACTTATGTCTAGTTCTGTTCTAGATGTGTTTCGATATGATACTGTAAATGTGTTACTTGTTCTTTCTAAGAAACACCAGGGAGCAAATTCTATGCATTTTGTCATTCTGAGAAGACAAACCTTCTTTCTTTTTAAATATGAGTCTGAGGCATATAGTCTCCCTCAGAAAAATGTTATAAGACTGTTTAGTTGTGATTTGAAGTTTAAAAAAATTAATGAGTCCTCCCAGCCAATCTCTAATTGCTTTCTGAGCTACCTTTGTGCACTGCATTTGGCAGTTGAAAGAGTCAGTGAACTGCAAACTCGGGCAGCTGTCTGATTTACATGTGTTTTCTGAAAGAGAGTGGTCACAAAATTGTCCCAGTTCTATGCTGGAAGTTACACTGATTTTCATATAAATAAATCGGTACATTTTATTAGCTTTATTCCTTCAAAATCACATGACTTGCCTGCAACAGAGATCTCATTGCTGACTCAATTTGGCATGTAAAAAGAGCTCTTTCTTTTTTCTGTAGAACTTTGTTCCACATCTCTTTAAACTACTTGTGGTGCTCACATATGAACCAATATCTAGGAATTTTTATACAAAAACTGGTTAAATCAATGGTATTGTGCAAAAAACATTGTACTGTTTGGTGATACTGTCTTAAAGAGTCTTCCTTTTCTTAACAGTTAGAAAATACTGTTACTTGCTGAGTTGCTGGGAAGCTAGAGTAGGTCCTATGCACTGGTTAACCACTTTTATGAAGAAAGTGGGTTACTTGCTAGTTGACAGGGGTTTTTAAAAAGCACTGCTAAAATATTCTGTAGCCATACCTATTTCTTTGAGCTTCTCCAAAGTGTTAAATGAGGCCCCTTGCACCACTTTGTTCAAATTTGCCATGGTGAGTTACTCAGGGAGCCCACTTCAGGACCACTCTGCAGAAGGTGTTTCCCCATGTTTTGGTTGGGCTGGAGCATTTATGTGAATTTACTCAGTGCTTTGGAAACAACATGGCTTTGATTCCTTGCTGATGATTAGAGCTATCTGGTGAATTTTAGGGTTTGGATATAATTGTTGTGCATTTTGTGTTGTTACAGTATTGATTCTTTTTTCACTGGAAAGTGTTCTCTAAAAAACTGAGAAGACGCAGGAGAGACTTGTGACTTTAGAGGCATCGTTTTTAGATGCTTTGCAACAAATGCACCCAATTCCTTCTGAAGAAACCTTGCAGTTCGTTCTGATTTTCATTTTAAAATTCCTTTGTTTGTTTCTCAGAACACCTTGCAAGACAATATCATTTTTGTTATTATTAAAGGGCCGCTCTGAGAGCAGGGACTAGCAGCCTGGCACCTGGCCAGATGGGGAAGCCAGTGACCCCGGAGAGCTGGGGAGAGCCAGTCAGCTCACTAGACTGGTTGACTGGCTTGGCGAGCCAGCCTGTCCTCTTTCAAAAGTTTTGATTGAATTAGCACATTCCTGTGGAATATTTTGGGTTTCATCAAGTCAGCACTTTCTGTTGGAATGGTGTTCTACTGGAAACTTTCTAAGCCGATCTCCTCGAAGCCGCTTGCTCAGGGGTGGTGCTGCTTTGACATCAGTGTTGCTTTCACTCAGACCGTTCTGCATTTAATTCACATATGGCAGTGGGTCTGACTGTTTGCCAACATATTCACTGAGATTCATTTTGAGGGGAAAAACTTTTACTAGTGTAATTCAAAGAGGAAGAATGTTGAGACACCCAGTGCATGAACTGCTGGAGATTTTTTCCTTACTTGAAGTAAGGACTTTGTAATTTTTCTTTTTAAATTACAAGAAGTGAATTTTTTTAGACCTATCATACTAAAAATGAGCAGGAGATCAGACATCACAGATAGGAGGGATTACAGATATAATTTTATATTAGGAGTTTATCCAATTTCTTTGAAATCAAGAATTAGTATGTGGAAAACTGTTACAGACAGAATATTGTCTGTATTCTGTCTGTAGGTGTACCTACAGACAGATAGGTGTACCAGAAGGAAAAACATGAGCAGAACTCTGGGTGCTCTTCCTATCTGGCCGTGTACTTTGTTTTCTGGGGTGTTTGATCTAACACCATGCACAACTATCCAAGAATTCCCGTGCCGTCTAACTGAATTCGAATTGACCTGGGCCACAGCACTGCAACTCATTCAGATTAGCAAGGATGCAAAAGGTTTTGTCATGATTTAAATACACTGTTTATTCTAAACCAGTTTGAGGTATTGGGTTGTATCTTGTGAGGAAAGCATTTCTTGCTGGGACTGCCACATGCCGAGGCCTGCCTGT